TATTTACTAAATTAAATTAAATATATTTTAAAAAGGGGATTAAATTGTAAGTGGGAATAGCTGTAATCAAATCGATTGTTAATTTTCTATATTTATTCCTAGCCCCATGTTTAGGGAAATGGATTCAGACATGAAAATGATTGAAAACTCCCCATGAAAATGAATTACTGTTAGCTTGAATCTGCACCCCAAAGCCCACAAATCAAACACGTTTTGAAATTAATTAAAATTAAGCCGCTAAACGATGATGAGACTCTGCACATGTGTCAAGTGGCAATGATAGGGATATTAATAAGGCACAAGCCTACAGAAGGGCCGCCAAAATTACAAAGTCAAGCGAATGAAACATCTCTTACAAATTAATTACATTTTATAATTTAAGGATGAACGCAATAAGCGCCGCTTTATGTGATAGATATAATATGAAATATGTGTGCATGTTATCTCCCTGTCTCTCTCTCTCTCTTTTTGTATGTGTGCGCGCGCGTCCTCTGTGTGTTATGTGAGCCATGTCGCTGCTGGCGCTCCTGTTGATTATGTTCAGGCTGTGTCGCGTCGACAGGTTCACTGACCTCTTGCTCTGACATTTGCTCATCATGCCCGTGCACAGCACAGTCGACCACACTCTTTGACATACACACATACTCACACTGAGGCACACGCAGAGGCACACACTCCAGGCTGTTTTGCGTTTGTGTGTGCGAATGTATGTCCTGCAGGCAGCACCTGTAAGCCAGCCCAACCTTTGCTCCAGCCGACAGCCGGTGTAACATGTATAAAACGTTGCCGGTCGGACGCAGCGCAGCGCGAAATTATTCTAATTAGAGCCCTTCCCCCTCCCAACATCCTCCTCCAACAGCACGATCCTTCAGCAGCTTTTGCAAAAGCTATCTGCCACTTGCCGTTTCTTTTATATGCACAAAATATTTCGCATTTCTCTCATTTTTATGCAATACTGTGCATGAATAGGTTCTTGAATAGACCTAATCACGAAATAAGCCATTTAGAAGGGCCTTATGCGAATTGGCCTCAACGGCGAATTGGCTAATCTTGTCAGACCTTAGTCAACTTCTTTAATTTTATTTGATTAACATAAAAATGTTTCAGAAACTACAGCACAACTAGAAATGGGATAATGCTGCTCTAATCAAATAAAGCATAAGTCTTAAAAAAATCTATTTTTTTCTATATATGTATATATATTTCATATTTTCCATTTGTGCTTAATCAATATTCTGTTAGGAAAAGGCAAATTAATGAGCATCAACACATAATATATATTTTAATAAATATTCATTTCCACACGTCTTATGAGATAACATAACTCACAGTTCGTGTACAGGGAAATGGAAAGTGCAGGTTGTGAAATATCGGTAAAGCAAGCTTGACAGGATAACGTGTTTTGGGCCATGTGTCCTGGCATGTTTTCTCCTGCCCGAACACAGATATAGAACAGGCCTAAAATGTATATTTATCAAAAGCGTCTTTTGAGCATATCATTGCCAACGCACACATATTTGGGCTTTAGCTTAATTCACTTTGGGCCAACAACACGCTACGAAGCTGCTGCTGCTGCTGATGATGAAAATGGCCAGATGACGAAGAGGATGACACTGCAGCCCATCAGAGTGGCAAGAGACAGGCAAATGTCAAGCCAGCGCCAGCGCCCGATGCGCAGTACATATTTTTCGTCAGATTCAAATGTTGTGCTCCACATGCTCTGGATACAGTTGCCTGGTTGTGTTATACACCGAGCTGTCATGTGTTAAATTAGGAGCACGACAGGCGCCAGAATCGCTCTGCTTTCAACATCAGCTGCCCCCATTCGCAGCCGCCTGTGCACGTGTCGCATGATGTATGACATTTTTGCGCCTCATAAACAGCCACATTCACCGGCTGGTAATCAGGTGTTCACAATCCAGCGCACTTCACGTGTCGCTAGCCATTTGGCTGCTCCTGCTTCTGCTGCTGCTGCTCCTGCTGCTGCTGCTGCTTTGTTTATGTGCCCAGCATTGAGGGTCCAAAATACATATCTGCTCGCCCAGCTCTGGCTCACCTGCACTGCAAAGTGCCTCAGGCAACATGTGGGTCCGACCTCTGCCTGTGGTTTGTTTAGTTAGTTCAGTCAGCGTCGAACGGGCGGCACTGGGCTCTTTGTTTGCCTTAACGAAATTGGCACGAATGGCAATGGCGTTTGCCGTCATGTTGACAATTTGCTCTCCTGCTCATACTATAAACTGACTTATTTGCCTCAACAGTGCAATTTAAATGTAGCAAAAGTTGCTTGACCCCGCCGGCAGCAGTTAAACCAGGCCAACGTTAACACGTGTTAATACAAAGCAGCTACCTTTTTTTTTTTTGAGGGGGAAATAATTACGTTAACTAGGGTAAAAATTTGATGAAAGCTATTTTTGTTCTGTTAAAAAAAAGATGGAAAATATTTGCAAATGAATTATATATGAATTTGTTGGTTTTGCGAAAGTTATGATTGAAATGCTTAAGCTCAGATTTTGTGAAACCGTAATCAGAACTTGACATTACATTAACATGAAATATGAAACTGTTAACACTGATCTAGTTGGCTGGATCCAATTGGAAAACAGTCTAACTAAGTTTTGATACAGATGAACTTCGAATTTTTCGAGCTCAGTTATGAGAAAATATTTAATAGGAATGATATTTTTAATTTTTCGATTTCATTGAAACGAATAACTTTAGTTAGTTATGCAGTAGGAAATACAAGATTCTGATA